TCGGCGTATTGCTAGTGGTGCTGGTTGTCTCACCGTACCTGTCCGTTTGTTGAGCATCTCTGCGATATAGATTGGTGCCTCGCGTAGTTCTACGTACTGGGTCTGGTCGTAAGGTGTCGGTTGCGTGATCTGCCTGTGGGACTTGTCGACGATAGAAGTGGCCCATGCCGGGCGTACTGCTGCTGCTGCTTTTGCATGTAGAACGGCTGCCAGCAAGTTGGTGAGAGATAGTAACTCTGATCCTGTCACTATGTTGTTTCGCTCTTGTTCATTGAGCACATGAATGCGTTTCCATCGTAGTCTGGAATTTCGTGTGTATTCCGCTTGCGGGCGCTCTCAGGGGGCCTCCTGGGCCGTCTCGCGGCGATATTGGGGGCCCCTTGGGCCGTGCAAGAGCGCCGCAGGCCCGAAATGACGAGAGCAATTTGAGTCCTCCAAAAGATGAAAGCGTAGCGAATCACATCGAATCCGGCATCTCGGGGCCTTCCTGGGGTGGCCCTTGGAGCCCTCTTGGGGCGTTTTTGGGGGGCTGCTGGACCATTTGGGGTGTTCTCTTGAGCCTTTCGGAGCGCCCTTGGGCCGCTTCTGGGGTCTTCCTGGATCACCATCCCGCGCGTTTCTTGGGACACTCTCGGGGGGGGGAGGAGGAGAAGGAGGAGGAGGAGGAGGAGGAGGAGGAGGAGGGGATTGAGGGGGTGGAGGAATGGAGGAGGAGGAGGAGGAGGAGGAGGAGGAGGAGGAGGAGGAGGGAGGAGAGAGAGAGGAGAGAGGAGAGAGGAGAGAGAGAGAGCAGAGGAGGAGGATGAGGAGGAGGTGGAGGTGGAGGAGGGGAGGAGGAGGCGGAGGAGGAGGGGTGGAGGTGGAGGAGTGGGAGTGGCGGCGCGCCTCGGCAGCCCCGCTGCCTGCGTGCGCCTGCTCTCCCCGCTGGGGGCGGCCGGGAGGGGGGCCGTCTTGGGGGGCGTCTCCGGGGGCCTCCTGGGCCGAATGACGTCCTCTGACGTTCTCGGCCGAATGACGTCCTCGCGCCTGAAACCTCCCTACCACTTACGCGCGAACCTCGGGCCGGACGAGAGGGGGGGATGGGGAAAGGGGGGGGTACGAACTCTGCTGCATGCAGCTGGTTTCGGCCCCACCGAGGGGCCCATGTCTCGATACATGGGCGCCTCCCGGCGCCGGGAGGCGCCTGGAAAATCAGCTACGCGAGCTGATTCTCAAACACCCTCTTGGCTATCCCCCCCTTTCGCCCGGCCCGAGAACCACTCCCACGGCGATCTCTCAAACACCGCGCTCTCGCTCAGGACTTCCTCATGCGTCTCTCGCGGACCGCGCTCTCGCCCGAGACTGCTTCGCCATCCCCTATTGCGGATCCTTGTTGCTAGCTCCCGTCTTCCATCTTCTCCCTCCGTCCCTCTAGCCCCCTTTCTCTCCTTCTTCCCTCCCTCCACCCCCTTCCTGCTCGCTCTCTCCTTTGTTCCATTAATTCGACGGTTCCTATTCCTAATGTCTGCGCCAACTACACGTGGCCAGGACGGAAGAGTAATCTTGTGGCGTTTGGGCACCCCTAGTACCGTCTGGATGTTCTCCTGAGCATGGCGGAGTGTTCTCAGGCGCCTTCAGGTATTCGTGGATTATCTGAGGCGCTTCTTGGGGCACTTTCGGGGGGTCGGGAGGAGCCCGTTGGGCCGTCTTGGGAGCTTTTTGGGCCGTCTTGTTTGGCGCTCTTTTGGGTCGTCTTGGCGCACTCTTGGGCTGTCTTGGGGTCCTCTCAGGGGCATGTTTGGCCGTCTTGGGGCCCTCTTGGGGGCCTCCCGGGCCGTGGTGGAGCGTTGGGAGCCCAGAAGGTGGGAACGCCAAAGTCATTCGAAAACCTAAGGAATCAATCATTTCGGCGTCTCGGGGCATTCTGGGCGATCTTGTTGGAGCCCTCTTGGGCGTCTTGGGGGCCTGCTGGGCCGTGTTGAGGACATCTCAGGAGAGGAAACAAACACACAGACACAATGAACCCTCGATTCCCAGGAGAATATGGGAAAAATGGGAAGCGGGGGGGGAAGACGAAAACCCAGAAACATCCTGGGATGTGCGTATGTGTGTGTTTATTTGTCTGGGGCCTTCTTTGGACATCCGTCGGAGGTGCCTCTGGAGACATTCTCGGGGGCTCGGGAGGCAACTCTGGGCTGGGTCATCTTCCAGAGGACCCACGCGACACCCCGCCGAAGCGCTGCAGAGGCAGGCCACGAACGACGTGGGACAGATTTGCAGTGTGACTCCCCCCCCCTTCGTCTTTCCCTCCCTCCCTCCCTCCACCCTCCCTTTCTCCTCTCCCTTCTATTGATAACCGGCCGTGAAAGTATCAGCAGATTCGTGTGATCGTTTCACCCCGCGTCTGGTATCGGACCGGGCGTCGTGCTCGTACGGGACCTTGCCTTGCCTTGCCACGCGACACCCCCCCAGGAGCACTCAGAAATCCAGGCAGCGCCCAGAAATCCGCGGGTCGGGGCCCTGAAGAATCTCGAGCCAGTTAATCGCAGGATTGAATGAGCCTCGAAACATCCACTACGTGCTGAACCCACAGTGCAGGATACATACATACATGCATGCATCCATACATCCATACAAGCATACACAAATGCGTACACATACATACATACATGCATGCATACATACATACATGCATGCATACACACATCAATCGATGCATACATACATACCTACCTACATACATATTTACATACATACATACGTACGTACGTACGTACATACATATAGACATACATACACACATTCACACATACATACATGCATGCATGCATACATACCTACACACATACATACATACATACACGAATCCATACATACATACATACATGCATACACATATGCATACATACATACATACATACATACATACATACATGTATCCATGCATACATACATACATGCACACACATACACACATACATGCACACATACATGCACACATGCCTCCATTCATACATATACACATACATGCATACACGCATTCATACATACAAACATACATGCATACATACATACAACTACATACATACACACCTGCATGCATGCATACATCCATACATACACACATACACACATACACCATACATCTATTTACACACATGCATACACACATACGTACATTCATGCATGCATACGTACGTGCATACATACATGCAACCATACACACATACATACATGCATACCCACATACATACATGCACACATACCTACATACATACATACATACATACCGACCGGCATACATACATACATACATACGTACATACTTGCATGCATTCATGCATACATGCATGCATGCATATACACATACAGACATGCATGCATACATACATACATACATACATACCGACATACACATATACATGCATACACACATACATACATACATGCATACACATATACATACATACTTACATACACATATATACATACAGTCAGATACATACATACATACATACATACATACATACATACATACATACATACATACATACATAACGCATGCGTATACACATACCTATATACATCATCCATACAAACATGCATGTATGCATGCATGCATGCATGCATATAAGCATACACACATACAGACATACATACACACTTACGTACGTACATAGTTGCATGCATATACACAATACATACATGCACATAGGTGTACATGTGTATGCATACGCACACATGCTTATGCATATCTACAAGTGGACACACTGAGTGTGATGTGTCACCGTGAGTGTCGATGTGTGGTGAAAGGTCTTGTGGTCGTCAGCGGCCGTGTCAGGGCAAGTGTGTGGTACGGCCGGTCCGATGCATCGAATTGCAACACGCCTCCCCACACGGAAACATATTGAGAGAGGGAGAGGAGGAGGAGGAGGAAGAGGAGGAGGAGGAGGAGGAGGAGGAGCAGGAGAGGAGCAGGAGGAGCAGGAGGAGCAGAGGAGCAGGAGAGCAGGAGAGGAGGAGGAGAAGAGGAGGAGGAGCAGGAGCAGGAGCAGGAGCGGAGGAGGAGGAGAGGAAGAGGAAGGAGGGGGAGGGGAGGGGGTGGGGGAGGGGGAGGGGGAGGGGGAACAAGCTAGGTGCGCTCGCGTCATATCTGACGTCCTACCCCTCCCTCCCATCCTTACCATGGCGCTGATTTTCTCTATCCGCGGACGCGTGTCGTAGCGGACCTGTGGCTCCGCGCGCGCGTGCGTAGTGGGTGTGGTGCGCGTGCGTGCGTGCGTGCGTGTGTGCGTGGTTTGTGGGTGGTGGTGTGGTGCTGCTGCTGCTGCTGCTGCTGCTGGTGCTGGGCTGGTGCTGGTGCTGGTGCTGGTGCTGGTGTGGTTGTGAATGGTGGTGGTGGTGGTGGTGGTGGTGGTGGTGGGTGGTGGTGGTGCGGCGCGGTGGTGGCGGGCGGATGGGCGCGCGAGAAAGAGGCCCGCGCTTGGGCGAGAACGCCATCCTGAACGACGGAGGCCAAACACCGATCCGAAAATGAGGCCCACGCTGCAGCGGGAGCACGATTCGGAACGATTCGGGAGCAGAAATGAAGCCGGCGCTTCAGCGAGAGCAGCATTTCGAAAACAAACGCAGGCTAAAACCCGTTTCCCAGGAATCCTGCGTGTAAAAAAATGTACGCGGGGGGGGGTCGGCCATCTTCGGGACGCCATCAGGGGAAGTGGGAGAGTATTTTCATATTGTGTAATTGTGGAGGAGGAGGAGGAGAGGAGGAGGAGAGGGAGGAGGAGGAGGAGGAGGACGACGAGGAGATGGAGGAGGAGGAGGACGAAGGAAGAGGGAGGAGGAGGGAGGAGGAGGAGGAGGAGGAGGAGAAGGAGGAGGAGGGGAAGATCATCATACGTAACTTATGGACGTAACTTCTGGTTGTGATCTCTTCACGACGCGCCGAGCCGCCGAGATGGGACGTCGGAGGGAAACGCCGCGCTCCTCGTCGCTCTCCCCCTCGCTCCTCCTCCTCCAAGGCTCGAGGACACCGCGTCCGCGATCAGCGAGCTCGGCGACGCGGCGGGAGACACCCTGCAGGGCTTTGTCAATCTCATCGACGGCCCCGCGATCGCTTCGCCGCCGCCGCCGCCGTAGTCGTCGTTGTCGTCCTGTCGTCATTGTCCCGTCGTCAACGTCGTCGTCGTCGTCGTCGTCGTCGTCGTCGTCGTCGTCGTCGTCGTCGTCGTCGTCGTCTTTGCGAGCTCGCGATCATGATCTTATCACGTGCCCCTGACGAGCGACTTCGTCCTATGGATGGATAGTCTTTGAATGGAGGTGCTACTCCAGAGCTAGGGTGCACCTCTTCACCATCTTCTTCTGTCGTCAACATTGTCACCGTCATGTTCGCCCCCATCGCCGTCGCCGCCTTTGAGGTTGGAGGGCCGAGCTGCTCCATGCTGTTCCCTGGCCCTCCCGTGTTGCACGGTCCCCCCGTTCTCTCCGCAGCGCCGCGAGTCTCCTCTCCCTCCTTTTCCCCCCCCCCCCCTTCCCAGCCCTCCGGTACCGTTGGGCGTTCCTTTCCGCTCCTCCGCGCCGCACGTCCTCTCCTCCTTCCCCGCCTCCCGCCGCTCCGTCCCCCGCCCACGCCCCAGCCTGTGGCCCGCAGGGGGAGAGAGGGTGCGTGCCCCGCCCCGCCCCTCTCCGCACACTTCTCGCGCGTCCCGTGCCCACGCGGGAAGCTGCACCTGCGGCACGCACGCGCCCCGCCCCGGCCTGTCTCGGCACTCCCCCCTCTTGGGCGCCGCGTAATGGGGGGGTCATAAATGGGGGGGTGGCGAGCGTGGTCCGAAAAGGTACCCAAACGGTACCCAAGCGAGCCCCCTGTGGCTCCAGAGGGGCCCGAAAGGGGCACGAAAGGGGACCTTTTCTGACCCCCCCATTTGTGACCCCCCCATTAAGCCACGCCCAACCCTCGCAGGAATCGCGCCACGGGGACTCTTCCAGCGGCGGCACCCGCGAGTGTGCCCGCGCATGCTCCCCGCCGCGTTCGGCACGCCCCCAACAATACGGATCGTGCCCCATGGGCAGGTCCACCTGCGGCACCGGCCAGGGAGTGGGCGTGCAGCCCGTGCTCACTCCTCCTCCTCCTCCTCCTCCTCCTCCTCCTCCTCCTCCTCCTCCTCCTCCTCCTCCTCCTCCTCCTGTCCCCCTCCTCCTCCTCCTCCTCCTCCTCCTCCTCCTCCTCCTCCTCCTCCTCCCCTCCTCCTCCTCCCCTCCTCCTCCTCCTCCTCCTCTCCTCCTCCTCCTCCTCCTCACTCCTCCTCCTCCTCCTCCTCCTCCTCTCCTCCTCCTCCCCTCCCCCTCCCCCTCCTCCTCCTCCTCCTCCTCCTCATCCTCCTCCTCTCCTCCTCCTCCCCCTCCTCCTCCTCCTCCTCCTCCTCCTCTCCTCCCTCCTCCTCCTCCCCTCCTCCTCCTCCTCCTCTCCCTCCTCCTCCTCCTCCTCCTCCTCCTCCTCCTCCTCCTCCTCCTCCTCCTCCCCCCTCCTCCGGATCGTGCCATGCTGGCCATAGGTCGTTCGACCTACGGCTCCAATGAGGGAGCCAAATTGGGACATCAATCGCTGCCTCCACTCACGAGCACCAGAGAAGATGCGCTGCTGTGTTGTGCAATCGCCGTCAAAAACACTTCACGGTGGCAAGCCGCACAAGGACTGGGAGGTTTTGTTCGCAGCCTTCCTGTGCTGTGCTGTTGGGTACGTTTTCTTCTCGCAGCGCCACGCGCGCGCATGTCCATTCCGCCCCCCGCCTGCCACCACCCCCACAGGGAGCCCACGGCCCCAATGCGTGTGTGCGCATGTGGCACACCCATCTGGCGGATTTCTCCTCCTGGGCAGCCACACGTATGGCCCCAGTGGTGGTGTGCGCGTGCCGCCCTCGCACCAGATTCGGCACACCCCTCTTGCGGAGCGGCCTCCTCTGGGAGTTCCAGCCGCGGCCCCAGTGGCCTCTTGCGTGCGGATATTTTTCCCCGGCGCGTTCCTCGCGTTATGGATCGTTCGCGCAGGGTCCTCCGAGTACCTCCAGGTTCCTCCACGAGAGGGCCGCCCCCTGCACCCGCGGCTGCACGCGGTATTGGGCCCTTCGAAGGGCCAGTTGTCGGTCTGCTCATTTCGGAACCGGAGGATCGAGGAGGAGCTAGATCTTTGGGACACTGTAGGTCCTCGACCTCTCAGGGGCGCCGTTTGGCGCCCTGTGGCCCCCCAAGATTCCGCCCACCTCCCCAAGCAGATTTGTTGTTCCATCCGGAGCAATAGTTTCTGACGCCCACGCGGCTTGGAAACGGCCCCCTTGAGACACACGCGGGGGAGCGGAGGCCGATGCGCGGCCCCGGTCCTCGCTGGAGGCCTCCGCAGGGGGCCAGGCTTCGACGAACCGAGATCTCCGGGGGCCTCTCTTGCACTGGATGCGGACGTGGACATTTTCAGCCTCGGGGGTGGCACATGTACACCTTAGGCGATGCTTAAGAAAGCTTACGTTTTCGGCCAGAGTCTCGATCATTCTTAACGTTTCAATGCAAATCCGAAGATTTCAATAGAGATTCTGGGTTTTTATTCAAATTCTGAGACTCTGAGTTTCTTAACCCATGATTTCTTAAGCATTTCGCAGAGTGTATTCAGCATTGGGGGTGGCACATGTATACCAGAGGCTTACGTACGCCATCCCGCCGACCTCCAGAAGAGGGAAGCAATCCACGGTGAAGCCGTCGGGGGCCTTCTGGAAACCGGTTTGGGAGACTCATGGGGGCATCTTGGGGGCCTCTTAGGGGCTGTTTGGGGGGCTATTGGGCGCCTGCTGGCAGTCTCGGGGGCTCTTTCGGGCGGAGGGCCGCAAGTGGATGTTTGAGTCGGCCATGTTCCTCTACAGGAGGAGTATTGAAACATAGTCAAAACATAGTCTGGGGACGTTTTTTTTGACGTTTCGGCAACGGCCGATCGTTCAAGGATGAACGATCCTCGAGGTGTCGGAAACCAACGCCGAAGTCGGCACGACACGAGCTTGACGTAATTGCGCGCATGTCCACCTCTTGCCGAGATCCCCGATGGTCGGTCCCCCCTCTGGGGGGGTCCCTCTCGGCTCGCTCTTCGGCACTCCGCGGCCTCTCCGCGCAGTCGCGCGACCAGCCCCCCCAGAAGCCAGGCGAGGAGCCCCAGGAGCCACGCGAGAAGCCGCAGGGAATCCAGAAGTTCTAGACTTCAGTCGGGCATCCCTCTACAGGAGGAATACTCCAGATTTCGCAATAAAGGGAGGGGGGTCTCATTTCAGGGGGGGGTCTCTTCCAGGCTATCTTGGAGGGCCTGGGGGGGTCTGGGGACGATGTTTTGGAGGGTTCTCCCACGGGGGGGGTCTAAAACTTCTCGTCTGGGAGGGTTGAGACCCCCTCCCTTTTATTACGAAATCTGGAGTACTCAAACATAGTGAAAAACATTGTCTGGGGACGGTCTGTTTAGCCTTTGCTGTCTATTTTGCAGCATTTGTTTGACGTGTTGCGTCCACCCAAAATCCGCCTGTGGGGGGGCATGCCCGTCCTAACTCTAGACGCTTCGCGTGACCCCACCAACCCATCCAGAATCGAAGCCCACGCGAGCGGCCTTGATCAGGGATGTGGGGAAGCATGCAGTGGAGGAAAGGGCTAAGGAAGCCGTCATTCCTCAAGAGGGGGAGGATGGACGAGTGATCGGAGGAGGAGGGGAAGGAGGTAGAGGGGGAGGGGGAGGTGTAGGAGAAGGAGGGAGGAGGAGGAGGAGGGATAGGCGGAGGAGGGGAGAGGAGGAGAGGAGGAGGAGGAGGAGGAGGAGGAGGAGGAGGAGGAGGAGGAGGAGGAGGAGGAGGAGGAAGGGAGGAGGCGGGCGAGCAGAAAAGCCAGGGGCTTCTTGAACACCTCTCGGAGTCGCTTCGGATGGCTCAGTTTTCTTGGGGCGTCTAGAGGGCGTCTTGACGGTCCCGGGGCCTTTTGGAGCATCTCGGTTGCCTCGGGGTCGCCTCTTGGGGCCTCTTGGGGGTATCTTGGGAGTCGCCTGGGCACCTCTTGGGGGCCTCTTGGTGCCTCCTGGGCGCCTCTTGTGGCACTCTTTGGGCACTCTTAGGAGCCTTGGGGGCTACCTTGGGGCCATCTTGGAGGAGTTCAATCAAAGAAGGGGGGGGTCCAATGTAGGATTAGGGCCCCCCCAGGTGGCCCCGTGTGTTTGGCCTTCTCGCCGAGGCCATCCTCAACTCTCTAACGACCTGCCGCCCCCCCGGCCAGGTCCAGGGGTAGGGGGCAGTGGGAGGGGTAAACCCGTCCCCGAAGGGAAGGGAGGGAGGTTTGAAGAGGAAATCCGTTGAACCACGCACACCCTAAATGGCTGGTGGGATTGGGGCCCTAGGCCCTTCAGAGGGCAGAGGACTTGCCAGGGACCTGGGGATATTCCACTCACTTTTCGCGGCATAGTTGAGAATTTCTCAAGTATGAGTGATGCCCGAAGGCCCGGCGGGGCCGACACGAGGCAACAATATTGCCGAGGTGTCGTTTTTGCGCCGCCAGGGTTTGCGAGAAGGGATGGCGTTCCAGGGACTGCGGCGGCGCCGTCCGACGACGACGTCGACGAGACGACGGCGGCGATGTCGTCGGCGATAACGACGGCGACGGCGGCGGCGACGAGGAAGGCGGCGACAGCAACGGTGACGGTGACGGCGAGGGCGACGACGATCCTTCATCTGTCTTGGGTCGCGTCATGGTTGCGAGGTTCTGGGGCGGGCTCACCCCGTGGCCGCGAGGCCGCCCGCAAAGTCCCAGGAAAGGCGCTCTCACCCCTTCGATCCGCCATCCTCGAACCTCGATGCTCGACTCGGACGACGGCTACCATGCCTCACGCGCGCCGACGTCGATAATGGCCAGGCCCATTTCTCGTTCAAGATCGGTGCGCGCGCCGCTCTGGGCCTAAGTCGGGCATGTCCCTCTACAGGAGGAATACCCAAACACAGTTGACACATAGTCTGGGAACGATTTTCTGCAGATGTTTTGACTATGGTGAGGCATTTGTTTGACTTTTTTCATGTTTCGCCTAAAATCTGCCTGTAAGGGGACATGCCCGACCTAAGGCTAGGCCAGGTGTGCGCGTGGTACAGATCGGGGGGCCAGCGTCGGCCTTGCCAGAGGACCTGTGTCGGCGCGTGCCCTGACAACCCAGGGCACCAGAGGCCTCGAGCGCTTCCTTGGAGGTAGATCGTAGATGTCCACCCCGGACCCACTTTGGTGGACATGGTCGGGCGTCGAGTCATGGGGGTGCGAGAAAGGGGGGGGTGACGAAAGGTGCACCTCCTGTGTCCTGAAGGGGCCCTAACGTTGTCCCTTGGGGCCCAAAGCGGCACGAAAGGTGCTCGTGCCCACCCCATTTATTGCCCCCCATGAACTGACACTCGACCTGCTGCCCGACGAGGGGCCCCCGAGGGCCGAAATCTAGGCAAACTGCCCCGATCGAAAGAAAGGTTCTACCGTCGGAGATTTGGGCCGCCTTGGCGCCGTCATCTCCTCAGCGGCGGCGGCGTGCGCAGCCTCTTAGTTGCCCTCGGAGGCTACTCCGCGGAGGCCAAGGCGACCGTCATCCGCGAGGCGCGCGCGTGGGCCCGGCCGCGCCAGCGGGCGCTGCTGGCGTCACCGCTGCCGTCGCTTCCGCCACCACCGCCGTCGCCGCCGCCGGCGCCGCCGCCGCCGCCAACGCCGTGGTCGTCACCGCCGCCGCCGTCGCCGCCGCCGTCGCCGCCGTCTTCGCCGCTGTCGTCGCCGCCGCCGCCGACGCCGTGGTCGTCACCGCCGCCGCCGTCGCCGCCGCCGCCGCCGACGCCGTGGTCGTCACCGCCGCCGCCGCCGTCGCCGCCGCCGTCGCCGCCGCCGTCGCCGCTGTTTTGGCGTTAATTGGCGGCAGTTCCGTGTGCGGGGGGCACTCTCGCGGGCGCGGGGGCAACACGTGGCGTCGGGCCCAGCGCAGGCACAGCGGCCGCGCCGCTCGGCGCCCCCAGAGGCTCAGACAGTGGCCGGCGTTTCACACCTGTCACGAGGGGAAAAACACATACAGGCACAATGAATCGTCGATCCCCAGGGAAGTGTGGGAAAATATGGGGAATCCTGTTCCTGTTGTGTCTATTTATTTGTGTGTCTCGGGGCCCCTTCAGCTTGGGAGCACCGATGCCTCGTCGTGCTTGGTGCCCATGGGGCGTCCCAGACATGCTCACGCCTTGGACGAAATCACGGCTGAAGGGTTTGGGCCGTCTTCGGCCTCCGGGGGTCCTGGTCGGTCCCCGGGGCCGCTCGCATGGGAACACGCAAGACGTCGCACGGTTGGGGTGGAACCCCGCGGGGCCTCGCGATGTTCACAGGGCCGTGGCGGCTCTGCGCACGGCGGCGCAGCGAGGAGCAGCACCGCAGAGCCCGATTTCTCGAGGCAGGCCCCCTTGGACGACTTCAGTGGCCGAGCCTTCAGTTGGGCATGTCCCTCTTACAGGAGGAAGATTCAAACATACTCCAAAACTTGTCAGGGGACGTTTTTGTTGTGCATTTGTGATTTCTGTTTCATGGGCACTTCTGGGGTATTCTTCATTTTTCGCCCAAAATCCGCCTGTTCGTGGACGTGCCCGACCCAAGGCCGAGCCCGCAGTCCCCTCCCCCCCCGATGAGTGGCGCGCCGTGGCCCTCGTCGAATGGGCGGCGAGAGCAAACGGGTTCAACGACGCATCGCCGACACGTCGCCGATGTATCGGTGATGCATCGTCGACGTTTGCGATGCATCGGCGACGTCGGCGTGGATAGAGTCGGGCTCCACATCGAGCCGCATTGCCGATGCATCCGCGATGCAGCGCGATCCTCTGATCCCACCTGGGCGGCGGAAAAAACAGGGTCGTCAGCGCCGGCATTCGCGCGCAAGCTGCTCGCGTAAGGTCGCGCGTGAACAATCTCGTCTCCAGAGCAGGGTGCCGCGCTTGCTGCCCGCGTGAGCCACCGCGCAGCGGTCGCTATGCCATCTCGCGTGAGACCCGTTGCGGATCGTCGCCCCAATAGCAGCCGGCTCGCCGACGGGCGCGGCGAGGCTTCCTCCGACGAGTGCAGCGAGAGGGGCGAGCTGGGCGCGCGGGATGCCGCAGGGCACCGACGCGGCTTGCCCGGCGGCAGGCCGACGGCACTGCTGGCCGTGGCCGCGTGCCTCGGCTGCGTGCTCGCCGCGCAGGTGCTGCGCGGCTCCGGCCGGCGGGGCCTCGACCGCCCTGGGGCGGTCCAGCTGGAGACGGAGGTGTCAGCCGGAGAACCGAAAGCGGCATAGGCATGACATCTCGCGAGTATAGGGGAACCAGAAGTGACGTAAACATAAAAACTCGGAGGTCCGCGTGGATTTCTCGGATCGGCGCCTGACCCCCCTCCGTGGCGCGCGGAGCGCGCCAGGGGCGGCGCCGGAGGCGCCGCCGGGGGGCCCCAGCGCCGATCCGAGAAATCCGCGCGGACCTCCGAGTTTTTTTTTTGTTAATATCACTTTTTCTTCCCCTAGAGTGGGACATCGACGGCCCAGAAATGAAGTGTCCGTCGAGTCGACGAAGTCACATGTTTGTTTCGTGCGCATGTGGGTCTGGCGAGCACATCAATTCTGGGACGAATCCATTATTGAGCCGATCTCATAGTTTCTCGGAGGTCCGCATGCCAGGGAGGGGGTCCAGCGCCGATCCAAGAAATCCGCGCGACCATCCGAGAAATTATGTCTATGCCTGTTTGGTTGTTCTAGTCAGAAGACTGGAGCCTGAGCGGTGAGGGCAAGGGCTGCTCGAATTGGAGAGAGATCGCTCTGTCGGACTTCGTGCAGTTCGACCAGTCGTCGGCAGTCAAGGACTGTGGAGACCTGTGCAGGGATACGTTCGGATGCATGGCCTTCGGCTTACAGCCAGTCGCCTGCGACGGCAAGGAGCAGGTTGCTGCTGGAGCTTGCTGTCTCTGGGGTGCGAAATGCGAGCAGGAAGCGAACGAATGCTGGAATCATTATGATATGAAACACAACTATACGCCATTACCTTGGACACTTGCCAAACGAGGGACAGGCTGCGCAAACTACATCCACATCAAGATGCAAGAAGCCGTATGCAGCTGGGCCAATGAGTGCGGCGAGAAGTGTAGCCATTTGGATGGTTGTACAGCGTTCAACTTTCAGCCCAAGACATGCCCAGGCCCCGACTCGCATGTGGAAGGCGCGTGCCATTTGTTCAATGGCTCGTGCGATGAGGAGGACAATCCATGTTGGGACTACTATACGATGTCACCGACGCCACCTTCGGCACCATCGCAACCTTCGAGGCCAACTTCGACGGCAACGATTGTGCTTGCACAGTCCGCATCGGCCGCCAGCGACGAGCTTGTTGTTGTTGTTGACAATGACGATGACCACGGGGAACCGTTGAAGCCGCTTAACATCATCGAGATTCCGCTCGCTTCGCGGGTGCACGTCCGGAGCACGTGCACACTGAGCGTCAGGTAAGTTGCCATGCTCGTCTGCTGCGTTGTTCTGCCGTGTCGTTCTGTCCGCCCTGGGGCGCTGCCAGCGCCACGGGGGGCGGATGTGCCCCCCTTCGTTTCAGCGCTAGGACGAGCGCGCGACGGTCCACGAGGGCAATGGGCATCCACCGCGTGTCAGCACAAGGCAACGCCGAGTTCAAGCTCCTGCGAGCATATAATAGAGACAGCGCGCCATTCGTGTACAATTCCGAGGGTCTCTTGATGGTTTCTCTGGCCCGCTTCGGGGCTCTTGGGTGGCTTTTTGGAGGCTTATGGGGGGACCCTGGGGCCTCTCGGGGGCATCTTTTGGGCATCTTGGGGCCTGCTTGGGGCCTTCGGGCCGCCTTGGGGCACTCTTGCGCCGTCTGGCCCCTTCGGAGTCCGTTTGGGGGGCCTCTCGGAGCCGCCTTGTGGCTATCTTCGGGTCCTCTTGGGCCGCTTCGGGAGCCTTTTGAGCTGTATTGGGGGCCTCTCTGCGCCATTTGACCCTTCTGGGCCGTCTTGGGACGTTTTTGGAAGCCTGACGGGCCGTTTTGGAACATGTCTTGGCCGTCAGAGCCCCCGAAAGGCGAAGACGGCGAGAATGAGAAAATCGCACGAAACCCACACGGTAATCAATGCTTGAGGCCTTTCGAGGTGCTTTGGGGGGCCCCCATTGGGGCCCTCCTTACTGCCGTCTTAGAAGCCTTTTGGACCCTCTTGGGGCCGTAATGGGCCGCCTGAAGGGTGCCCTTTTGGGTCCCAAGAGGCCCCCGAGGCCGATAGCATAGATGTTCCATACGTTTTGGTCAGAGTGAGGGGGCCGAACGGTCATTCATTGCCCCTGCGTGCGTGGCCGAACAAGGAATTCGTGGTGAGAATTATGTTTGTTGCGCTGTTGTTGTTGTTGTTGTTGACGTTGTTGTTGTTGTTGTTGTTGTGGTTGTGGTTGTGGTTGTGGTTGTTGTTGTGGTTGTTGGTGTTGGTGTTGGTGTTGTTGTTGTTGTTGTTGTTGTTGTTGTTGTTGTTGTTGTTGTTGTTGTTGTTGGTGTTGTTGGTGTTGTTGTTGTTGGTGTTGGTGTTGGTGTTGTTGTTGTTGTTGCTGTTGTAATTGCTGGTGTTGTTGTTGTTGTTGGTGCTGCTGCTGCTGTTGTTGGTGTTGCTGCTGCTGCTGTTGTTGTTGTTGTTGCTGTTGTTGTTGTTGCTGCTGGTGTTGTTGTTGTTGCTGTTGTAATTGCTGGTGTTGTTGTTGCTGTTGAATGTGTTAATTGCTAAACATCCATGATTGTTGGATCCCTTAAAGGCGCCCTGGCGCTCTCTCCGAGGCGCCGGCTGCATGTTCATCGAACATGAGACTCACTCTCAAGCGGTTTGGGGGACCGCCGAAACGGGCCCCCCAACAACAACAACGCTCCCGTTCGAGACGTCCTCCTTTATTACTCAGGGCCGGTGCTCTTGCTCGCCGCCGAAAGCAGCCGTCTCAACAAAACCAGTGCTCCCGCTCGAGATTTCCTCCCGTTCTACCTTGGACGGGCCTGCTACTCTTTCTTTCATCGGCGCCGCCCCCCAGCAACAACAACGCTCCCGCTCGAGACTTCTTTCCTTTTTACTCAAGGCGGTGCTCTTGCTCGCCGCCGGCAGCCCCCGTCCCGACAAAACCAGCGCTCCCGCCCGAGACTTCCTCCCGTTTTGCGCTGGACTGGCGCTCTCTCCTCCTCGTCTTCGTCGTCCTCCTCCTCCTCCTCCATCCCCCCTCCCTCCTTTTCCTTCCTCTTCCTTCCTCCACCCCCGCCTCCCTCCTCCGTGCCTCTTTCCTCCCTCCTCCTCCCTCCCCTCTTCTCCTCCCTCACCTCCTTCTCCTCCTCCTCCACGTCCTCCCTCATCCTCCTCCTCCTCCTCCTCCTTTTCCTTTTTCCTCCTCCTCCTCCCTCTCCTCCTCCTCCTCCTCCTCCTCTTCCTCATCCTCCTCCTCCTCCTCCTCCTCCTCCTCCTCCTCGAGAACGGGGGATTGTGGAGTCGCAGGGGTTCAAAAGCGCGCGCGCGAGGGTTTCGCGCTGAGTTCGCGACTGTTTCTGTGCAAACTCTGCTCTGTGTCGTCGTCCGTCCTCCTCCTCCTCCTCCTCCTCCTCCTCCTCCTCCTCCTCCTCCCTCCTCCTCCTCCCTCTCCCCCTCCTGCTACCTCTCTGCTTTTTTTTTCTCTTGGCGCCTTCCCCCCCCCAGGAAAAAAAAGTGTTTTTTTTGTTTTTCTCTCTGGGGGGGGGGGGGGGCAGGAGAAAAAAAAAAAGGAATGCGACGTGGCAACATCTGCCCTCCCCCCTAGAAGGACTCCTATTGGACGCCCCCATAAGAAGGATTCACAGTGAAATCCTCGACAGAAGGGTTCCTATCGAAACCCTCCACTGAATGGTTCCTACCGAAATCCTCCACATGTGGATTCCTACTGAAACCCTCCACAGCGGTAGTATCATGGTAATGGTAATGCAAATGGTAATGGGAATGGGAGTGGAAATTGTACTGGCAATGGTAATGGTAGTGACGAATGGCAATGGCAATGGCGATGGTGATGGTAATGGTAATGACAATGACAGGGGTAATGTAATGGTACTGGTACAGGTAATGGCAACGGTAATGGTAATGGTAAGGGGGTAGCGATTGGCAATGGCAATGACAATGGCAACGGTAATGGTGATGACAACGGCAATGGGATTGGCAATGCCAATGATAATGGCCATGGCAATGGCAGCTTCAATGATAAGTGTAATGATAATGGCCATGGGAATGGGAACGGGATGGGAATGTGACTGGGAATAGGAACGGGAACGGGAATGGAAATGGTACCTGTAGTGGTAGCGGAAATGGGAATGATAAGGGTAAAGGTAAAGGTAGAGGTAAAGGTAATGGTAATGGTAATAGAAATGATAGTGATAATGGTAATGGTACTGGCAATGGTAATGGTCATGAGAATGGGAATGGGAGTGGAACTTGTACTGGCAATGGTAATGGTAGTGACGAATGGCAATGGCGATGGTGATGGTAATGGTAATGACAGAGGTAATGGTAATGGTACTGGTAATGGTAACGGTAATGATAGTGGTAACGGGGCGGCGACTGGCAGTGGCAATGACAATGGCAACGGTAATGGCAATGGGAATGGCAAGGGCAATGGTAATGGCCATGGCAGTGGCAATGGCAATGGTAATGGCAATGATAATGTGAATGGGAATGGGAATGGGAACGGGAATGGGAATGGGAATGGGAATGGGAACGGGCATGGCAATGGCAGTGGTAGTGGTAACGGACATGTGAATGGTAAGGGTAAGGGTAAACTTAAAGGTAGAGGCACAGGTAATGATAATTCAATGGCAATGGCAGTTGTAATGGTAATGGTAATGGTATTGGGCATGGGAGTGTGAATCGGAATGGTAATGGTACTGGCAATCGTAATGGTAGTGGCGAAGGGCAATGGCAATGGCAATGGTAATGGTAATGGTAGTGGCGAATGGCAATGGTAATGGTAGTGGCGAATGGCAATGGTAATGGTAATGGCAATGACAGAGGTAATGATAATGGTACTGGGAATGGTAATGGTGACGATAACGTTAATGGTAATGGCTATGGTAATGGTAACGGGGTAGCGACTGGCAATGACAATGGCAACGGCGATGGCCATGGTAATGGTAATGGGACTGACAATGGCAATGGCAATGGGAATGGTAACGGCAATGGCAATGGCAATAGCAATGGCCATGGCAATGGTAATGGTCATGGTCATGGTAATGGTAATTGCAATGGCAATGGTAATGGTAATGGGAATCGTAGTGGTAATTGGAACGGGAATGGAAATGGTAGTGGTAGTGGGAAAGATAATGGCAATGGAAATGGTACTGGTAACTGTAATGGCAATGGTGATGGGAATGGGAATTATAATGGTGATGGCAGCGGTAATGGTAATGGTAATGGCAATTGTGTTGGTAATGTTAATGATAATGGCAATGGTAATGGTGGTGGCGAATGGTAATGGTAATGGGAATGGTAATGGTAATGGGAACGGTAATGGTAACGGGGTGGCGACTGGCAATGGCATTACCATGGCAACTGGCAACGGCATTGGTAATGGCAATGGCAATCATAGTGGAAGTTTGTAATGGCAATGGTAATGGTACTGGAAATTGTAATGGCAATGGTAATGGTAATGGTAAAGGTAAAGGTAAAGATAAAGGTCAAGGTAATGGTAGTGGCAACGGTAATGTGAATGGGAATGGGGGTGGGAATGGTAATGGTAATGGCATTGGGAATGGGAGTGGAATCGGAATGGGAGTGGGAGAGATTGAGAGAGAGAGAGAGAGAGAGAAAAAAAAACAACGAGAAAGGAAACATCAGCATAATCATGAGGAACAACGTGAATCCCCCGGCCTCTCCTCCACCTCCTCCTCCTCCTCCTCCTCCTCCCTCCTTCCCCCTCAGTCTTCCTCCCTCTTCCTCCCTCCACCCCCTCCTCTTCTTCCTCCTCCCTCCTCCCTTTCCCGCCCCGTTTTCCTTCTTCTTCCTCTTCCCTCCTCCTCTCTCCTCCTTTCGCTGTTCGTCCCCCTTGTCTCCTCCCTCCTCCTGCCTCCCTCCTCCCTTCCCCTTCCGTCCTTCCTCGTCGCTCCCGCTTATACTTCCTCAGCTTTGACTCAAGAGAGGAGCCCTCGTTCCGTCGTCGCTTCAGAGCCGTTTCCAAGAGGCCCTGTTGAACCTTAGTATCAAACAATTGTCATTTTGGGGGAGCATAGATAATGTGGACGAGGAGGAGGTCGGATGACTTCCAGATACTCCAAGGATCGAGGGTCGAAGGATTGATTCCAGGGATTCCTTGGGAGGGTGTGGAGGGGCAGATGGAGGGCGCGAGCATGGGGGCGGCAGCCCCTGGGGGCGTGGGCGTTCAGGGTCACGCGCCGAGGCCGCAGGGTGGTGGCG